GGAAAGCATTATGAAAGCTTTCCTATGTAACCGGCTGAATGCGCGCGCAGCTGTTGCCGCGCGTGCGCATTCAGCCGACGGGGAGGAGAGCTCTCTGCCCAGCGCTGGAAAAAGGTACGTTTTAACCCCTTTCCAGAGCCGGGCGGGAGGGGGTCCCTGAGGGTGGGGGCACCCACAGGGCACTATAGTGCCAGGAAAACGTGCCAGGAAAACGAGTATGTTTTCCAGGCACTATAGTGGTCCTTTAAAATCAAGTCGCAAAATTAAGCGGTTACTCCAAGCACCATGAACCGCAGTCTAGCGAAATCCTCCATAAACATCAATGTTTATGACATGAGTGAGAGAGTACAGCACTGGCGCTGCTCATGGTGGGTTAGTTGTCAGGAGCTTAAGACAGAAAATGAGAGCACCTGTACAGGAAAGATTTACGTTAAGTGTAACTACCCCTCCCCTCCGCACCCAGAGAAGGGATATCGCTTTAGGGGGTATTTGCAAATTATGCAAGGACCCCAGAAGGTGACAGCACCACTTCAAAACCGAACTATGTACTTTATCAAGAGTGGATTGGACTGTCCAGCAAAGCTAAATGTCAGCCAGTTATGCAAGTACACCAGGATGATGGCCCCAGCATTACCATCACTGATACTCCAGGTTATACTTGGAAATAAATAAACCATGTATGTCCCAGTATACCTCTATAATTAACTAATCCTATTTTATTTATTTTTTTGCAGAAATTATATAACACACACACACACACTACCAATCATATTTTACATGGACTATACCTCCCAACAAATGGGACAGTGATGGGAGTTACAATAAAGCAACGAAGCTCAATTAAAACATAATTAAACCACTCACTCCTGAGTTACATCCAACGTCCAGACACATGATTGGGGCTTCACATGATCTGTGGAGCAGGCTCCGAAGCTTCCCTGGAGGTAGGAGGCTAACACGGTTCTCCGGCGGATTAAAACTATAATAATTAGGGAAGTTCCCATATGGAGCAGCCCCCGGGTCCTCGTAAGGAGCTTCAATCTCCTGATCTTCCATTACACCAACGTGACTGAATCAGCAGCAGAGTAAAGCATGCTGCACAGTACACTTCCTGGGTTTCAGTCATATTGCTGCACCCAAGCTGCACGCTGTGCTCCCGCCGCCATCTTGGTTCCTGGCATAGTGCAATGATGTGCATCCAAGCTAGTGTTTCATATGACAAACCTATTCCCTACATTATTTACTAGATTTAAATGATTGGATAATTAATGCAGTTAATATACTGACAAGATACAGATTTTTTTTTTTTATGGGAGAATAAGCTATCTCAGTGCATGAGAAAATAAACTGAATTTACTTAAAAGGATTTGGTTTTTTTATAATAGAAAAGCAGGTATAATCAGTAATTTAGGGATGGTATGAAGGAACATTTTCATTTTTTAAAATTGTATGTCAGTAGTTTTCCATGTTTTTCTTTCTAATATATATTGAGTGGTGCTTATTTATTGTTTGTTTTTTGTTTTTTTTTGTAATCTTATATAGCAGTGTTTTTGTTGTTGTTGTTTTTTTAGAGTTGTGGGGAGATGAAAACTGACTTGCAGAATTCAATTTAAAATATTATTTCTCGGGTCACATAGATATGTTTATTTACCTCATCAATTCTGCTAATTGTGCCTGTCACCAATTATCCACAGCTTACTATTTAGTTTAGTAAATGCTTTCTTAAAGAAATACCAACGTAACTAACGTTAATACATTCCAATATACAGACTATGTAAGTATATATTCCAAAATACAAACACTACTCATACAGATTCTATGGACCACGATCACTTTTAATCACTGCAGTGGTCATTGTGCTTAATACTGCAAAATCGTCAGTTTATCTGGTTTTACTATTCATAAGTAGTGATGTCCCGAACGGTTCGCTGCGGACTCATCATTGAGTAAACTTTGACCCTGTACCTCACAGTCAGCAGACACATTCCAGCCAATCAGCAGCAGACCCTCCCTCCCAGACCATCCCACCTCCTGGACAGCTCACTAAGAATGCAGCTTCACAATGAATGTAAAATGGATGCTGTCCAGGAGGTGGGAGGGTCTGGGAGGGAGGGTCTGCTGCTGATTGGCTGGAATGTTTCTGCTCACTGTGAGGTACAGGGTCAAAGTTTACTCAATGATGAGTCCGTGGCGAACCGTTCAGGACATCACTATTCATAATAACAAAAACGATACAGTGTTTTCAGACCTGGAGTAATACAAAGAAAACATGTTCATATTGATTTTTAAACAACACAATACTAATGTTTTAACTTGGGAAGAGTTCAGAAATCAATATTTGGTGGAATAACCCCATTGGGCCGAATGGTTCTTATCTGCCGTCACATTCTATGTTTCTATAGGGAATCAACACAGTAAAGGAGGAGACTATATTTAAAAGAAGAAAAACTACCACAACAAGAAGACATAGTCTTAAATTAGAGGGGCAAAGGTTTAAAAATAATATCAGGAAGTATTACTTTACTGAGAGGTTAGTGGATGCATGGAATAGCCTTCCAGCTGAAGTGGTAGAGGTTAACACAGTAAAGGAGTTTAAGCATGCATGGGATAGGCATAAGGCTAACTATACAATAAAGCCAGGGACTAATGAAAGTATTTAGAAAATTGGGCAGACTAGATGGGCCGAATGGTTCTTATCTGCCGTCACATTCTATGTTTATGAAAACACGAAGGCTCATATTATGCTTAAAGCGGCAGTGGGAATTTTGCAGAATCCACAAAGACCCCCGATGTTGACATCAGCACTGGGTGTCCCATGGTCAGGGGAGCAGGTAAAGATATCATGTGTATGCCTACTTTGTCTTAGTATATCTTTTGACTTGGTTGGAATTTCAGTAAAGATTCTATCTTTATGAAATACTCATTTTCTGAAAAGGGAAGAGGGATATCCCAAAAAACATCTCATTAATATGAAGGTGCATGTAACCCAAAGCTCTTCCTCTTCCTTTGCTGCTGCTCCCTCGGCTAAGTATACCAGGTCGGCTTAGACCTGCACTGTAATATTTGCCTAGCGGATTTCTCTTGCTTTACCAGTCTTCTCAGATTAGTACATTTATTATTGGTACCTTTATTGGCACCCTTATTTGTCTGCCTAGTTATTCTTTCTACTTCCCTCTCCAGGCTGGATTTAACACTCACCACCTGGGTGTGTCCTCCTGTCTTTTTGTTTTTTTCCCCTTGCTCTGGATTAGATGCTGAGCATTTTATTTTACCCTACCGTGCTGCTTAACATTAATTCAGTGGACTAGTGTTGAGTTTTAACACTCCCCCTGCACACTGTTTGTGTGGTATATTTTTTTCTCATTTCCCATCCTACTCTTGTCTGCCTAACATCTCTGATTCAATCAGCTACGCCCTCACAATTTCTTTCTTCAAATACGATGAACTTCTAGTGACTCAGGAGGTTGGGCTTTAGCTGACAGAGAGGCTATTTTTACCCTTTTCCTCCCAATCTCCAGGTTTTCTCAGCAACCTTTTCCTTGTACCCAAGAAATGAGACATTGTCAACCCAGTGATTACCCATCGGCTTCTTTACACTTTTTTTGTATACCAACAATTCAAATGGAGGGCATACATTGCCTATGGGATTTGTTACTCAAAGGAGACCGAATAGTAAAGCTCGACCTCAAAGATGCCATCCTCACGGTTCCCAGAAGCCCATCAAGACTACCTAAAATTCATTTGGGGCCAGATAAAATGGCGGTTCACATGTCTATCGTTTGGCCTATCACTAGCCCCTTGGTGTTTCACAAAGTTTTTAACATCGGTAGTGGACTTTCTTTGCAGAAAAAGTGTTTATCTCATTATGTCTCAAACTGCAGCTCTCGTGGAGAATGATATTGTTACAAGAATTATGATTTCTCCTCAACTGGGAAAAGCCCATTCTCATTCCGTCTTAACTCATGGAATTTCGGGGTTTACAATAGGCTCTGTTCATGGCACCCTACTTCTACCTTTTTCCAAGGTGAAGTTCATTGAAGAAAAAAATCAGGTGGGTAACTGGCTCTACCAATGATCAAGGTTCATCATCTGGGAAAGATACTCAGCCTCGATTCTAGCCATATTTCTAGGCACGTTACACTATCAAGTTAATTGTGACGAGACCAATCTCGCCACATTGCATTGGAGAAGCCTGGTTGCTCGCCTGCTGCCTTTGGACTATGGCCCCCTTTTAAAAGACTTTATTTTGCCTGCAGAAAAGCTGTATTCGTGCTTTTCTGCCGGTTGTTCAGTAGTTTCAATCTACCGAACAACCGCACGAATGAATAGACCACCTGGGAGCTGGAGTGTGCCGGCAATTAACCTCCCTGAAGCTGCGGTTAACCGCAGCTTAATTGATGAATGCTGGGTGGCCGCCATTCGTATCCCGAACACGAGGTCGCGGCCATTTTAAAACATACGAATGCACAGCGGTGTTCGCCTCTATTTTCATGGAACTAAAATTGGACACAGTTTTGCGCGAACACCGCTGAAGCCGCCAACCTCCCTTCTTGTTCGGTGGAAGTGCACGAACGGCCCGGTGTTCGGTATTTTTGTTGAATGTGTTATACCCCAGATAGGAATCCCATGGAGCCCATTCGTATGAAACTGACTGTGTAAAGACTTTAGCTCCATGGCGATTAAACTGTATTCGTGTGGTCTGAGTGCCATTCACCTAATAATGTGCACTCAGACCTGAGCTATCTGGGGATATGTTACATGTCTGTGTTTTGTGTAATAAATGTTACATTATGTATTTTAAAGTATAATGCTGGTTTTGTGTCCCCACGTGTGTAATGGAGTTTTGCCTTTGTCTTGGGAGATAATTGAGTTACTTCCCAATTATCTCCCAGGGCAGAGGGGAGGAAGCCAGGATGCATTGTGGGAATATACTGTGACTGTGTGTCCTATTTGTCTACTTGTCTGTCCCTTGTCACAGTCTCCCATTTGGTCCCCTAGGGGAGTGTCCACCAGGTGGGAGACCTGCATAAAAGCCGGGCAGGTAGCCCTCATTAAACAGATCTTCTTGACCCTCTAACTTGCAGCCTTGACTCATGTTTGTAGGGGACAGCTATAATCACTACAGGGATTGCTATGCTCTTCATACTCCCTTAGCTACTGAGCTCTTGTAAGAGCTCTTGTTCCTGATCCTGCTTCGCTCTGCAGAAGGAAGAGGTTCACCTACTGCAACCTGGAGCCTGGTCGTGGGTCCAGGGCACAGAGCAGACGGCGAGATACCAGCTCAGCAGCGGTGGTTCGTGGAGTCTGCAGTACTTCTGGTGGCTACGCAGTAGTTATGGTGTCTACGGTGCTGATGGTCCTTTGGTGAGCGCTAGGAGCATTCTTTCTACGGTCCAACTTCCAGCCAGCCTGGAGGCAACCGTAACATTAATCAACGCTTAAAGAAATTCTCTCTGCATTAGGGGCTCCCGTACAACCACTTCCTTCTGTCACACCGCAAATCTGTGGAAAAACTCTCATGGTGACTCTTACATATCAACACAGGGAATGGCAGAGCTAGTAATGCCCAGGACTTTGTCATCAAGTTAGGTGCAAGTTCAGTTGGCTGTGGCACGCTGTGGACTTATCTCCATAGGCAGGAGGTGGTCGTCCAAAGAAAAAGCACTACACATACATTGTATTGCTCGGGGGAGCGTTGCTGACCGCCGGGAACTCTAAAAGATCCCAAAGCTCCCACAAAGGATCAGGGAAGACCCCCGCTGGAAAAGCAAGCTATCTTGCCAAACTCTTTAAAGATTACGCTGACCGCATATTGGACCACGCGAAATCCAACAGGATGCCGGTAGCCGCACAGTTTGATTCAAAGATCTCAAAGATATTCTCTGAAGTCTGCCTTCCCGTAAAGACCTGTCAACAATGCTGGGAAAATTAAAAGCTTCATTTTAACAAAAGCCAGACAGCCTAGGCTCATATATTTGCCAGTTAGGCCAACAAATCCAATACTTGAAGGATGACAGGGGGACGCCCTAGGCCCAAATGCGCTCACTCACCTCAAAAGTCAAATCCTACACAACTTACCTGGCTCAATTACAACCACCACTGGACT